ACCCTTATGACTGGTTTTGTGGTCCAGGGTCACATAATATAATATAATATAATATAATATAATATAATATAATATAATTAATATAATATAATATAATATAATATAATATAATATAATATAATATAATATAATATAGTATAGTATAGTGTAGTATAGTATAGTCAATTAATAGAACCAGCTAACCAGTCTGTATGCATATAATTTCATTACTTAACTAGTTTAAAAACTAATAATCAAGTTTATATGTGAAAGGGAAAGGCTTTACCTGTAGAAGATCACGGCGCCATCATCACAGATGTAGAGTGGCCAGACATTGAGGGTGGAGACTTTAGGATTCCAATCTAAATCCTGATGGATCTCCAACACTGACATGTCACAAGGAAAAGTTCCTCGTCCCTGTAGGAGCAACAAGGCAGTCAGATCTGAAGCACTGCAGGAAGGGCATCTGAAACTCAACCAAATCTGTAAAATATAAATGTAAATCTGATACGCAAAGACTGCTGTACCTTGGCAAACTCCAAGTTCTCAAGAGCAATTCCACTCAATTCACTGAGCTGAGGGAACAAAATATGACATTAACACTCAAATGAAGAGGAAAACGGACCGACTTTATATTAAGTGGCCTTAACAACTATGTACTTACATTTGAATTAATCATTTGGTACAATGCACTTATTGTGTACATACATGTTTTTACATTGTACTTGTATTTTAAAAATACCTGCATGTAATTACATCTGTAATTAATTCCTGTAATTACATTTATAATTACACTGTTGACCCATCCCTAAATCCTGATGGATCTCCAACACTGACATGTCACAAGGAAAAGTTCCTCGTCCCTGTAGGAGCAACAAGGCAGTCAGATCTGAAGCACTGCAGGAAGGGCATCTGAAACTCAACCAAATCTGTAAAATATAAATGTAAATCTGATACGCAAAGACTGCTGTACCTTGGCAAACTCCAAGTTCTCAAGAGCAATTCCACTCAATTCACTGAGCTGAGGG